TAAAGTCGCCAAGAATGATTATAACAGAGTCTGGGTGTTGTTGCTCTGTGTCTTTGATCTGATCAGCGAGTTTCTGTAAAGCCAGGCTCACGTGCGCTTGCGGAGGAATGTAAACACTCACAAGAATGAACGAGTGGAACTCCCGCGGCGAATAGAACGGCTTACAGTTAATGAAGAGCACTTCTAGATTGGGACAGCACATCTTCTTTAACGCTGTTAAAGAATGCTTTTGAATTCCCCAAGAAACTTTGCATTTTCTCACAAAAGCATTGAAATATAGTTTTTTTCTCATATCTAATTTTATTTCCAATACTAGTTTTGCGTTTGCTTGCAAAAGCATTTAAGTATAGTTTTTCTTCCCATCTCATTTTATTTCCATGAGCAGTTTTGCTTGCAATGTTTCACCAGGGAATGCAAAAGTTTGAGACATAATTTCAATAATTCTAACAGGGTTATCTATTTTTTATTAGAGCCCAGACTGAAAATGCAAAAAATAAATAAATAAACAAAATAAATAAATAAAAGAGTGGCATGAACAGTTAGAAGAAAGTAACTTTTTTCTTGTTATTATATTCTTGTTCTGGTGTTAAAGAATCATTAATATGTTTCCTCTGTTAAAGGAACACTCCACTGTTTTTGAAAATAGGGATATGGCTAGGATCTATACTCTCATTGCGGCGTAATAATCAAGGTACTTTGCTGCCGTACCATGGCTGCAGCAGGCGCAATGATATTACGCAGCACCTGAAAATAGTCCCCAGCACGCTCCCTGTGCTAGAAAATCGCAACTTTTCATTTTCTGTCGGTCTTAGTACAGAGTTTTCTTAGTACAGTCGGTCTTAGTAGAGTCAAGTTTTAAATAGAAAACATTTTGAAACTCTTTGGTCATTTTTGAGCGAGATGCAAACAGACTAATCAGATTCAATGATCTATGCTAAGCTGCAGCTAAAAGTGCTACCGCCAGACCCGGAGATCGGCTGAATGGATTCGAAAACTGTAAAACTCAACTGTTTAACTCTAGGGGAGTTAGAAAATGAGCCCATTTTCAAAAAAAGTGGAGTGTTCCTTTAAATTAAAGTTAAATTATCCATGTGTTTTTAAACCTTCAGGCCTAACTGCATTCACTGCTGCTTCTCAAAAAAAGTCTTCAACAGTCTGCATCATGATCCTGGTTCACCCGTATGGCTGAGGCTTCAGGTCAGAGACACTCCTTCACATGTGATGAGCCAGGGCTGTCAGATCCTTTTACCTTTTCCCTTGTTGAGCAGAGTGAGCCAGGGCCAATTTAGAGAGAAAGGGCTAAAAAAAGAAGCCTCAATAAGCTTTTCAGATAAGAAAAGAAAAGGTCAGCGAGGAAGAAGCCAGCCAAACGCCTGCAGAAGAGAAGGCCAGCAGACTCCTCAACCTACTAGAGATTCTTGTTTTTAAAATGATTTGTATTTCTGAGTTTTACTAGCAAGTTAGGTAGTTAGTTAGAGAGGGGCAGAGAGAGTGAAGGTTTTGGATTAAGCCTTCTCCTCTAGCATACTGTGCTTCGGCAGGCTATTTCATGTGCGCTACCTGTTAAGTTATTGCCTGATAGGGTAGCAAGACAACAAGACAGCTGCCTAAGCTTCTGGACGTGGCCATTGGCTATTGCTTGGAGGGAAGAAGTAGCTGATCCTTGATGAAAAGTAATTGTCCCTGCCCATCTGCTGCACATGCAAAATTTCAATTTAGCAGACTATCTCTGCGTCCAGGTTTCTCCCAAAATAGTGAAAGTAAAAACTTAAAATAATACCATCAGAACAAAATCTCTCTAGTTCCTAATGCATATACAAAGTAAATTTCACAGTGCGACTTGCTTTCCATCCAAAGTCAACAGAGAGAACACACTCTGATATGCAGAGAGCTTTCTCCGTTCCATCGCCTTTTACAGTTTTGTAAGTGTCAAGATAAATAAAATTTCAGGTTGAGACCAATGTGTTTTGCTTCTTGTGCTCCCTCTAGATGTTTCTGAAAGGATAAACTGCATTTTGTGTATGCATGAATATTAATTGCGTTATGCATTCTTAGTAACCCTGCAGAGCATCATAGCTTACATGCAAGCACCTTTAAATGTGAAGAAAATTTTTTTGGTTTAGTAAACAATTATGGACATTGTACCATACCTAAGTACAGTGTTTCCACCAAGTTACAAATTGCCAAAAGAGCAAGCTGCCTAAAGCTAGAATAAAGTGTTTTCAACAAATGCAAAGAACTGTTGACCATTGACAAAGCATTAGTTCACAATGATCCTCACCTGTATTCGTGACTCGAGAAAGAAGCATTGAGAATCCAATATTTTTGGGACAGATAGTTCAATTTAAGCTGGGATCATAGACCCCTACTGATATTGTTTGGCAAGCATAAGTGTCTTGATCACATAATCTACCCGCTAGTCTGAGTATGGAAATGCAGATGGCTTGTCATGTACTGTATTCCTTTGCCTGAGATCACAGATCAGGAACTGAAGAAATATCAGCTAATTTACACATTCTTCTGTATTTCCGGACTGTTGAATGCGACCTTTTGAGCAGAACTCCAAAACTGTCCTAAAAGAGCAAGTTTCTAAACTTGAAAGCAGTCTGTAATAACATAACAAATAAAATGAGCAAATGGTCAAAAAATGCAACCATATTAACCATGCTGGAGCACATGCTGGAACACAGTTAAATTAAGTCGTTTTTACTTCTGAAAATTACTCAGTTTTGTGAATAACTACAAGTTTTGTTTTTCTACATTGGGATTGTACGGTGGACAAGAAGTGCAAAGCAAATCACAATTCTGAAAACAAAATAACAAATTACAAACGCAAATGCAAGTCTAAAAAACAAAATAACAATTCGGAAAGCACAACAACGATGTAATACGAGATTTGAAAAGGGAGAACAAAAAAGTTCGGCAAAAGGTGGGATCGAACCCAGGTCGATCGCGTCAAACAGCCTAGGGCACACACTTATCCATCTGCGCCACTGGAGCTGATATTTTACAGTCACTTTTAACTAAATGTAAATATTGTAATGTAATGTAAACTCCGTATTTTTAATTCCATAGTAAGGGCAATTCATACAATACATTTAAACTGAGCTACTTTAATACCATCTCCGAACTTTCTACCACGACTCTGCTGTTCTTACTTACTCTGGAATAAAAAATATGAGGTGTCTATTTACATTCAATTAAAAGTGACTGTAAATCATCAGCTCCAGTGGCGCAGATGGATAAGTGTGAACCGTAGGATTAACACTTAATATAATAATAATATTAAATTATATTTGGTTTATTAGTTAGCACTTTAATTACTTGCTTCAATTGAATACAAATGTAGAATCTGTTAAATATTTTCAAAACATTTAAACTAACTTATGGCAATTAAATTCAGATTGACTGACTGGCAGGTCGTTTCCAGACACACTATGTAACCCGAAAAGAATCTCATGCCCTTCTTGTCAAAACATTGAAGACTGGTACTCACCTCCCACAACCGGCTCAGCACCGCAGTATTGCACAGTATTTATCAATGTTTTCTAGTTGTGCTCTTACTTTATGTCTCAGCTCTGTGCAACAAGAGCGTGTATTGACTCATGTCAGGCAGCAGCAGCACCTCCTCCACTGTCATTATCTCCTCTTTAAATCCTCTTTAAATCTACTCTGAGACATGTCCTAACTTAAATATGTTAAACAATTAGACAGATCCAAGAACAGCTTATCTGACCCAACCACTTCCTCAAAGCTACTCCATGGCTTCAGAAAACATATAACGTACAAGCCATATGGACCTCCTTTATGGTGCCTTTTGTTCTTTTGGAGCTTGAATGCCACTGGTCACTGTTCTGTACATTTCATAGTCTAAAACAGAGCAGTGTGAATATATCCATTTGAGGTCCAAAAAAGAAAGAAAGACGTAACACCGCTCTGTATATTTTGCATGTTTCCCTTGTTTAACACACCTGATTCAGATAACCAGCTCCATGCATGAACAGTGTTCCGATTGACATGGTCCCTACACAATGTTCTTTGCTCTCTACTCCCTGAGCATGGGAAATCCATTAAAGTTTACTTCACTTCGAAACATTAATTCATGGATTTGCCTACACCACGGCCTGCAGCGTCTTCACACACAGACGAAACTTACTAGTGTTGAAGTGTGAAGTGTGACATAATATACCTCTGTAATTAAATTAAATTCACGTCTCGCACACTTTAATGCTCTTTGAATGGAAAATATACGCTCCCTTCGAACTGGAATCATGGTGGAATATAATGTGATGTCCACTTCGCAGGGCACTTATGGTCGAATAGAACAAATGTCTGAAGAGATACATACAAAATGTGCACAGCGGTGGTACACGAGGAATGGAATTGAGAACCACTCTGCTAAGCTTACCACATGCATATGGCATGTAATGTATACTTTAACATGTTTGAGATGATATGTGTGGACTGACAACAACAGGTAGTATACCCTCATTGATAGATATGTACATTTAAATAAATAAATAAATGCATCAAGGCAACATGGTGCATTCAGAATTTAAAGTTCTTTTAGCTATTGTTTTCATTTTTGTCCTAAGTAACGCTACATTGGTTTGTCGATTTTACTTTGTTCACTAAATGCAAAATGCTTCATTCTGCCAGTAAATTCAAAGCTACTACATTTTTTTAACATAAACATTTTTGTAAAAATTTGTTTTGGTAGCCTATCGTTTTAATTGACATGAAGTAAATTATGCTACTGTATCTTTGTTTCTGAAGAAGCAAAGCAAAGATATCTGGGATATAATTTTACATGGTTAAACACAAAACGACTGACATACAAATCTGAAGAATGGTGGCCATCAACAAATGTAAAATAATGAGCTCTTAACATCATCAGACAACAAATAACTAACAATAATGACAAAACATTCTAGGGTCACATTCAGACCATAAGCTACACACAACAGAAAAAGAATCTTGCAGGGAAAGTTGTCACTCACCGTTAAGCATAGCATATTCTCAGAGTTAGTGGAGTTGGAGACAGCAGCATGGTTTGCTGTAGCAGCTTCTGAGGAGATATAAACAAATGAGTCATGGGCTTTGTCTGTTTCACACACACTTGCTACAGAAAACTTGAAAATCTGCGTAGGTGGAAATTTTAAGTTCCTCGCTTGAAGGTTCTCTCTCTTTCTGTTCTTCTTCCCCTAAGCAAAGAAAAAAAATTACAAAATGTTCTCTCAACTTCTAACTCTATTATCTATTAGTATAGACTCCTGCTTATTGCTGTGGATAGAGCAGCTTGCCCCATCTAACAATCTAAGCATTCAAATGGTTGCTGTTATGACTTGGTTAAAAAGGCATACACTGGGGTTAAAATAGTGGCAGAGGCACAAAGTCACTTTCCGAAAGCTTCACCGTCAAATGCTGGAATGAGCTGCCAACCGCAATCGCACCTGAAACAGCTGAAGATACATCTTTTCTGCAATTACTTAACTAATCCATACTTGGAATTGTGTATACTGTAAATATTGTTGGCTTGTAAGAAAAACTGTTCTGCATTTGTAAATCGCTTTGGAAAAAAATGCAACCTCAACACCCAAAAAAAACACACAACAGTACAAAACATATCATCACTGTATTTAAAATGTTTTCCAAATCATGAGTAGCTTTGTTATAATTAATTACAATAACAATTTTAGATTCGATATAAGATTTAAACAAAAAGGATCTTGCCTGTTCTTTGTTTTTTCCTTGTTTTATAAAAGGCAGAGCAGTAAGACACTCCTGTTCAGACAGGGGGCCTCTCCAGCTCTGATTTTAGGTCCCCTGAGACACTCAGGAGACCTTCATGAAAACTGGCAGACAACTCCCCATCTTCTCTGTGCTCACAACATAGCATAGAACTGAATATCGCCATCTCAACTGAGTTCCAATTCCTCTTCGGCAGGGAGAATATCTCATCATTTTCAGCGCTTGTCAGAGAAGTAATTGTACATTTCGTGCCTTTACTCCAGGCACTGATAGTCACAGGTCTTGCCTTAACTTTATTCTAGGAACCAGTACCAGTATTCTAGGGGAGGGAATTTTCTGAGGTAAGCTGTGTGCCTATTGTAGACACCCTTTGGAGTATGTGTGCCTATTGTAGACACCCTTTGGAGTATATTACTTCAAACATTGTGACTTATGGATGTTGTTTGTGTGTTTACTTATAATGTCTGTTTTAACCATTTGTTGGCTTTTAAATTAAGGTAAGATACTTGGAGCAAGATCAAAAACAAACTGGTGTGATGTAATTTTGAAAAAAATCAGGCCAAAACAAAGTTCATTTGGAGTTTGTTTCGAGTTCAAAATAGAAAAGTTTGCTCAAACTGGAAAATGCCTTCAAACTACCATTGGTCCATGGCAATTATGTTATTGGTAGGAATGATCTGGGGCTTTGCCTTCTATGACATGGAAATCTTCTCTGGTTCATTTCTTCTGTTCAGTCCATCAAGGTCAGACTTGAGTAAAAACATGAACACACTAGAAAGTTGTGATTATGAAGAAAGTAACACTTTTAATAGTGTAAAGCTACTTGCTTTAAAGCAATCTTTTATATGAATAAATGTAACATGATTTGACTGTTTCAAATTGCTGAGCTTCTGCAAGCATATCCACACAGGATTTCTGAACTGCTGTTTTCTCACCACTGTCATTTTCGTTGTGTGTTTATTTTGTAACTGAGAGGAAGGCGTGCAGCACATATTTACAAATTCGTTTTAATAGCGACCGCAGCAGCACAGGTGGCATCAGGACGTTCGTTATCAGTATACCGCTGCTCAGGCATTTCAAACTTTTTTTTTATTCCTAAGCAAAGAATAAAAAAGAACTTTGCCATGAGTATATTGGGACCTTTAGGGTAATCTATAAGGATGTTGGCCATTGGTGTACCACTAGGGAGAGGACGTGCCAGCTCAAGGTGTATATATATATATATATATATATATACCCAAAACGAAATTGTATCTCATGTTTACTTTAATCACTACAGAGACATCAGAGCCAGCGGCAAATGTCGGAAGGACTAGACGAGTTGAGGCTGCTCTCGGCGGATACATGAGCAATGAGCACCAGCTGATCGTTCTGGAGCTCCGAAATCGGCATAGCAAATTTTCAAATAGGCGCTATCTTTATAAATAATGTGTTCTTGTTGGTAACTTTGAGAACCGGGTAGTTGGGTGGTGTCATTGGGTCATTTGTAGGTACTGAGGTCCTTCACTTCCTTAAAATGAAGGTGGCATAGTCAGTATTGGTTGTGGTGGTCAGGTTAGCATATTTATAACAAATTCCACAATGTTTTGAACAGAAAGGGGTTTGGCTAAGTCTGGGCAGTGCCATACCTGATTCCCCAAGGTGTGATGAGCTGGGAACAATTGATCTGAAATCCCCTCAAGAGATGAGTCTAATGGCTCGTTTCCACTGAGCGGTACGGTACAGTACAGTTCAGTACAGTACGATTCGGTACGGGTAACCCTGATCAGGCTTGCGTTTCCACTGCCAATAGTACCCTTCTTGATAGGCGTGGTGTATGCCGGAAAGTAGCGATCGACG